TCCCGGGACCTGTTCCATTTCTTTTCCTTTTTCGCTTTGGTTTCCAGGAGGCGTGGAGTTAACATGAATACCTAAACCCTAATTCCCAGCCTTGGTTCTGGTCCAGCTGCAAAGTCAGCATTGTGCCTCAGGAACTCATACAGGCTTCACTATCTGACCTCTGGGTGTGTGTGACATGGACAATGAAAACGTGAAAGAGGAGGGAGATAGAACATTAACTCGCAAGAGGCGTATAAAAGAACAAGCCTGCTCAGGAAGGTCAGAGGAAAGGAAAACGGTAAAGGTGCTGGTGGCCCCCTGGGAGGCCGAAGCAGCTTTGTACCTTTTTAGGTGTTTTCAGGTGTTTCAGCAGGTGGGGTCTTGGCGTAAGCTGGTTTGCGCCAGTGGAAGGAACAGCCAGAGCAAAATGAGAGAAGCCTGGGTGCCCACAGGGGGCCCCCAAGTGAAGGGTGGGGTGTCAGGGCATACAGATGAAGGCAAGAATCCTGAGGCCTCATCAGTGCTGCCTCTCACAACCTCAGGACAAGTGGCACCTGGACTCAAGAACACCTGGGACTGAGACTCAGCTCCTCTTTGCCTCTCTGGCCACTCAGTGCCCCCTAGGGACACCACAGCAGACTTGGTGTGATTCACTGGCAACCGTCCCGAAACGTGCTCTGGAGCCAGTGGGGGGCAGTTTGTGCCTTGCTGTCCTTTTCTTCCCATCTCGGCTACAAGCATCCCCAGGAAGCCTGTGACTTACCCACCTTTCCGTGCCCGTGACCCCTGGCTGGCACTGTACTTTGGGGGAGACCTCAGTCAAACTGTGCCTTCAAATGATTTTGTTTTGAAAAAAAACTGGTCAAGAAGTTTTGGAAACAGCATATGTTTACTTAGAGAAAAAGCGTTTGGATTCTACTTTTCAGATAAATCTTTAGACTCTTCTTCCCATAACCCCATCACGTGAGACCCAGGGGGTTATATATTTGATCAACAAGCAATGGATGATCCTTTGGTGGTGGCCTGCTTGAATTAGGTTTATTTACCCAGCAAATATGATTGTATTCCCTATCAGTATGCAGTGTGTAATTCATAAGCTGTCCTATAGAAATGCGTGCGTTGGAATTACGCATACAAGATCTGGTGAACCCCTCAAGGCTGCAATGTAGTTAGTGGTATTGTAGCACCATCAGGGGGCTGGTTTTGCTGAAGGATGTGGTTGTGTGAGTTGTATCACTGGGGAAAGCTGAATCAGGAGCATAGGGGAATGTTTGTACTTTTGTGCAAATTCTTGAGCCTTAAATTATTTCAAAATAAAAATAAGTCTTCTTTTTAAAAGCAAGACAAACTCAAAGCGTCATCTAGTCCAGTTGTTGTCACTTTTAACGGTGGCCTCCGTTCCCCTCTCCCTACCCCCTAGGGCTCCTTGAAATACCTCTTGGAAAGTGCTGACCCAGCCCAACACCTTCTGGTTCCAAATGAGGAAATCAGGACCCAAGGAAGTAAAGTGCACCGCTAGTTCGTGGCTACAGAGAGCCTGGGGTTCTTTGGTACAGTTGGTCCCTGCTAGCCCCCCTGCGTGCATCACAGCTCTTTAGCTTACCCAGGTTTCTTTTGTCAGCCAAGGTGAGGTTAATTAGGCTGGGAAAGAGTTCCATGCCCCTGCTTCAGTGGTGTGGGAGACGAACTCCGCCCCCGCGGTTGGGTTCATAACCTGGGTGGGGCGTCTGCTCGGCAGCCCGTCTCAGGCGGAGGGAGGGCTGAGGGGCGAGTCCCCTGCCCTCTTGCCAACTTGGCCTCTGCTCCAGCCACCTGTGAGGACTCTGGTCCAGTAGCTTTCCTCTGCCTTCCCATTCAGGCGCAGTCACTGCAGCACTGGGAAACCTTGGAGTCTGCCTCCAAGGACCGTAGGATGGCAATAATCTCTTGTAGCCTGTCAAGGGATTTTCAGGTTGCAAAGCCCATTCTTGAATGTTTCCTAAATTAAGCCTCACCCCCAGACTATGACATAAGCAGACTGGTTTTATTTCTGTTTTGTAAATAAGCAACATGACTGAGTTTGTACCAAGGCTGGGGTCAGAGCACAGGTCTCCAGAATGCTGGCAAATGCTCTTTTTCTAGGAGATGTTGGTTATTGTAAAGCATGTGCACATACTTGATCAACAAGCAGGTATTGTCATTGTCATCATTATTATAGCGTGATCCTTGGCCACTTAGGATTTTGGAGTGGGAGGACTCTAAGACTCGGTCATTCTCCACACTCAGGATGGAGGTGGTGGTGATAGCTTTCCCTTCTCCTACACCTCCAGAGGGTTAGAGCCTGAAGATGCCACGTGGGCCTTAGATGAGTGAGACTCCGATTTGCCTCAAGAGTGAAGCAGGTAGCCTCTATGCCATGTCAGTAGAGAGCAATGTGGAAATCACCTGGCAGGACAGCCGCCTGGAGCGGCCTGGCACACCCCAGCTCTGGAGGGCTGTGCGTGAACTGCCATGCTTTATTTCATGCCAGTTGTTGAGGCCTTGCTTCTGCGGGAACACTGGCTGCTTCCTTTCCCGTTGCAGCTTCTTTGACCTCCACTTGGTAGGACACCATCTTTACTGTCAATGTGGGGAATTTTCATTGGTACTGACACTGGCCTCTTCCCACAACATTCTGCCTAACATCCTGGGATATTGGAAAAATTGGTGGGCTCCTTTCATGGTGGAAGGCTAAGCCCATATCCAACCATATACACAGCTACTGCTTGCTAGGAAAAATAATCTCCCAGAGAAGACATTGATTTTGCATACCCTAAGAAACATTTAGAAATTAACTAGTGACCCGCCTCAGTATGTGAATCATCTAACGGGTGTGCACCTAGCACCTATCAGGCACTTGCTGGTTATTGTAGAATAACCGGAAGCAGTGGCTCTCAGTCCTCAGTGTGCCTGCAAACACTGGGATCACCTGTCAGGCTTGTCAAAATACCAGGAGGCTTTGTCTGCAAAGTTTCTGATTCATTTGGTCTGGGGAGGGGCTACATGACTTCTAACAAGTTCAGTTGATGCTGGTGCTCTATGGGGACCATACTTTGAAAACCTAAAGCAGAGATTGGTAAACGTCTTCTGCAAGGGTCAGAGAATAAATATTTTAGGCTTTGTGGGCCATGCAGGCTATGTCACAGCTCCTCATCTCTGCCCTTGTAGCCAGAACATGTTAAGTGAATGAGTATGGCTGTGTTCCAGTATAACTTTACTTACAAAACTGGGTGGTGGACTTGTTTTTAAAAAACTGTTATAAATATGAAAACTTTTTTAAATCTTAAGATCCACCCCCTCATGCTGGAATGATTTCTGAAAGTTCTTGGATGGGAATCAGGGTTAAAGATGTAGACATTGGTCAATTCCCATTTCTGATCTTTACTGGCCATGTGACTTTGAAGGTCATTACCATCTTGTAAAATGAAGATAATAATCATACAGTGAAAAATCGAGCAAATAATTGTCAAGTCTGCAGGGTGCCTACATGAGTGTTTGGTTTAATATTCTTCATACTATTCTACATGATTGAAATATTTCAGGATTTCTAAATGTGTCTTTAAAAAGTAATCATCATTCATTGGTACACGTGGCTTAGATTTTAGGTTCCTCCGTCTACCAGAAGGTGAATTATCTTGTAAAATCAAAACCACCTTTGGAAGTCCCACAAACCAGAAAACCAAAAGCCAAGACCATCTTTCTTAGTGTATCTTAGCATTTGAGGAACACTAGACTAAAGGGTAGGTCAGGCTTATCATGTCCACAGTGCGGCTCTGGGTCCCTCACCCTTCCCCCCAACCCTGCTCATCTGTCATCTTCTGAATTCACTTAGGGGCAGTGCTGTCTTTACAGCTGCTCGGCCCACAAGGAAGGATTCAGGAGCAGGAATTTAATGAGGATGTGTTCTGAAACGGACATGTAGAGTATGAAATTGTTTTCTAGTTCAGTTAGGACATAAAGATCTTTCTGCTCAGCCCTCTGCTTTTGCATATTAATAAGCAGGCCCGGGAAGCAGAGCAGCTTATCTGTTTTACATGGATTTACCTATCAAACCATTTTACTAACATTAACTTGTTTCGTCCTCACCACCACAGAGGAGAGGTGCTGTTGATTTCCCAGTTTACAGAGGAGGCAAAAAGGATAAGTCATTTGTCTAAGGTCACACGTCTGGGAAGTGGCAGACCTAGGATTTGAAGTCCAGGCAGTCTGACTGCAGAGTCCATGCTCTTTAGTTGCCCTGGCATGCCATTTGTAATTTCTCTTCCTTGCTGATAATCTGTCTGTGAAATGAGGAACAAAAAGGCTGCTGGAGACGCTCCTGTCTTGTGCCTGCAGTGGTCTGTCTGCGTGTCATGCCAGCGAAGGTAACGCGGCTGCAGCAGGGGCCTGGGACAGTGTACTCTCCGTGCATTTCCAGTTTCCATCTGCTTGTGCTGGAGTTTCCCTGTGTAAGCGCATACAATGCTTTGTAAATTGGGCAGAAACAGGAAGATGGCTCTGTTGGTTTGGGTGCATATCTGGCCTTACTGTTGTATTTCTGGAAATCTACCCAAAAGGAAATCACCCAAACTCCTGAGTGGACCCCAGGCGGCCAGTTAGCTCGGCTTCACAGATATGCGCTGGTTTTTGTGTCTACTCTGTGCTGCAGCCTCTGCTGGGTGCTGTGGGTGCAGGTACTACAGTGTCGAAAGCCCTGTGCTTGCCCTCAAGTGCTTTAGTGGCCAGGGTTCCCGAGGTGTAGATAGCCTCGGTGGAAGCCCTGGTGTGTGCAGACTACACCCCATAAACAGAGGACTCCTCACACGGCCCAGAATGGACAGCCTGTTAAAACATGATGTGGCAAAGTCGCCATCACCCATTGTGTGACCCCAGAGAATGGTACACAGTCTAGTGCCATCGGACCTTGACATGAGGATGGGGAGTGGTGGGCTCTGAGCTTGGCTCAGTCCAGAAACATGGTCCTTTCATGACCAGAATGAACAAAGTGTGTCTTCTCCCCACAGGACCCCAGGAGCAAGCACAAGTTTAAAATCCACACTTATGGAAGCCCCACCTTCTGTGACCACTGTGGGTCATTGTTGTATGGCCTTATCCATCAAGGGATGAAATGTGACAGTAAGTAAGTTTTCTTTTCCAGTAGCTGGCGAGGCTGTGCGACTTAGCCCAGGGTTTACAGAGCACTTCAAGGTTCAGTAATTTTTCAACACCAGCTCATCAAGAAAGAGAATTCATTCAGACCAAAAAAGCGTAGGATCTCTCCACTGTCAACGTTCTGGAGTATTAAAGTGCTTAGTTGCCTAATTATGAGCTTAAGAAAATAGTCCAGTGTATAAATGAAGTTGGTGCTGTCACGGTTTCCCCATGGTGGGAATCTTTAGTTACTGTAAAATGCGGACTAGTCAAACCCCAAAGCAAATGCCATGTGTTGAAGACTCCCCACCTCCGGATTCCACATTTGGTTAGGCTACAAAATAAGCTAAGCAACCATCGTCATTATCTTCCGGTGTCTCTAATTAGTGGGTGGACCGTGGAAAAATCCACTTGGTTCTCCTTAAAACTGAAACCACAGTGAAAAGAAAAATGCGGTGTACTTAAGTTCACTTGCCCTGCATGTTCACGGGCAGGTCAAATTTCTCTCCGTCCCTTGAAGAGGTGCAATCACTGGAGACCCCTGACAAGAAAGACGCCGGCCCTCTGCCCTCCTCCGTTTTGTTCTGTGTGTATCTCCATCAAATACCAGGCGGAAAGAAAAACAACTGGGGCAACTCGGCTTTGCTAATTCTTGTGTCATGAGATTCCTCGGGCTATTTATTTATTTAAATAGGAGTTCGTGCTCTCAGGACATGAAAAGATTATTATGGAGTCTGTTTTTCTAGTAGATAGGGAAGGATTATGGAAATAGGAGTCTATTGTCATTCATCAATGACTGTAATTATGGCCAAAAGTTTTACATGTATATCCTACATGGAGAAAAGACAGTATATAAAATGGAAATATATGAGCATTATAAAGTCGATGGATAATTTCTCAGAATACAGGGACTTTTTCTTTGCCTTAGAAACCTGTAGAATTTAATAGCCTAACAAAACCTTTGAGATGACCAGGCCAGTGGCCTTCCATGTTTCAGGAAACCCTAGGAGTCCAAAAACATGCTTTTTAGGGGTTCTGCTAGTACAAATTCTAAGTGCATTTGTAAATATACTTTTAACTATTTTAAAACTTGGAACAAAAATGAATACTTGAATGTGTTGCACATTCAACCTTGGCAACTTGCAGATGACACTGGACACTGTTGCCAGCTTCACTTATTCGGCAGAACTTGCAACCCAGTTTCTACTGGTGCATCCACTTAAGGGACGGGTATGCTGGGACTGTGAAGCATGCCATTAAACCTGCTTTTAATCAGGATTTGGGGGTGCTGTACATCTTTTAAAAATACAGACATAAATGAGTTGTCAAAAATGAACTGAGATATCAGCTAGTATCCCTAACAGGGTTTCAAAATGTTTGAATCAGAAGGCTCTACTGGTTCTCCGTAATTGTCTTTATAGTATATAAGTGGCATAAATTGGGTTTATTAACTAAGTTTATGCTAATGAAATAACACTCATCTGGTTTATCTAGTAGGATTCCACTTAAGGTTTTTTTTGTAAAATGTGTTCCATTACTGAAAAATTTTTGAAAACCGGGGCCTGGACCAGTTTGTTTTGTTTTGTCTTTTTTAAACTCTTTTCCTCAGAGTCCTATGGGGCTGCTGCTTATGTTCCTTCCTCAAAGGAGGAAGAAAATAAGATGAGTGCCAAGACCCGTCTCTTGCCTTCTGCAGGAAGAATCCTCCTGTGCTCTTCCACATTTTAGGCTATGATACTATGTACAATTCTCCTTAGTGGGGGGGAAACAGTTAGCAACCACTTGTCAAGGCCTCTGAGTTTGCAGAGTAGGAAATGGAATCAGAGTAAGTGAGCTTCCCAAGATAGAAAAGCCACTTGATGGTATAACCAAGACAATAATTCAAGCCAGGGTCCTTCCACCTCCCACATCTTGCTGTCACCCATATCCTTCCCAGATGCTCTGGCACCCAGGCACTTAAAGATGCGATTTGGCTAACACAAGTATTTCAACGGCACAACTTTTCAAGAGCCTTCCTATTGGCTGAATCAATTACATGGTTTTGAACAGTTAAGTTTTGGAACTAGACTCCTCAGCAGAATTCGCATTTGTGTATCCACTAACTGTTCTTTCCTCATTATGTCCACTCTCCTGCTTACATCATAGCCAAATACACATTATTCATGACGCTTTTTGAAACCTACTTCACCATGTTAAAATTAAACACTCAAAGAAACAGGATGAAGGCTCCACGTCAAAGTTACAGAGAGCCTTGCAGCAGCGCCCCAGCCCTCCATCTGGAAGCCTGACAGTGCGAGGACGAGGGAGCGGGCACACCTACACAGGCTTACGTTTGTATTCAGCACAGGATTCTTTTCAGGGTTTCTTTGGTTCACTGCAATAAGAATGATCTTTTTTTGTCCTCCCCCGTGTCACCCACATAATGTCATCTGGTAAGGGATGGCTGATCGTGGCAGGCGTGTATTTGTTTTACTTGGAATAATATTTAAATATTTGAAGACAGGTTTAAAATATCAAACACAAGTTCTTTAAAAAAAAAAAAAGCAATAAAGGCAATGTTCCTAAGCCTTTTTAAAAATAGAGAGTTAACTGAGGAAAGGAAATTTTTATGAATTTCCTGTACTTGACCCACAGATTCTCACTCTTGCTGTGTGGTGAGCTCAGGAAGGCTTAAGCAGTTCTTTGGCAAAAAATATCCTCTGTTTTAAAATTTGCACATTGTCTGCCTCTGTGTATACAAAATATTAGTTAGCTTACACTTTGTATGCATTTACCTATGTGAATTTTGTATGCTGCTAAATATTTGAAGAATTCACAGAAGACCAGGCAGGGGCGGTTGCTTCTGTTAAGACTAGACAAATACGGGTATTTTAAGGCTTTTTTGAGTCACACGAAGCCTGTGCTATAAGGGACATCTACTTACAGTTCTTCATGTCACCAAAAACATTATAGCAAAGTATCAAGTTAGAGGGCAGCTCATTTTCACTTCTGCTTGTAACCAAAACACTGAGGAAGTGATGTTTTGAGACCATATGTCCAGCCTTACCCTTTGCTCTCTTGATTCACAGCCTGTGATATGAATGTGCACAAGCAGTGTGTGATCAACGTGCCCAGCCTCTGTGGGATGGACCACACGGAGAAGAGGGGGCGGATCTACCTGAAGGCCCAGGTGGCCGATGAAAAGCTCCATGTCACAGGTAAGGCTGCTTGCGGAGGTGTTGGGCATGCAGCGTCTTGGCAGGAACTCGGATGAAGCTCAGGCGGACTCCAAGGGAGGGCTGGGCAGGCCCCAAGCCACGGGTTCGCATTAACACATCTCCCAGGATACTTTCCTCTGCATGCCGACTTCCCAAATGCTCCGTGTCACACGAAGTCATAAAGGCCAGGTGGATCGGGTCCTCTGACAGCATGGCCAGTGTATTGCCCTGCAGTGACAGGGGTACAGGGGAGCCAGTTAAGCACGGCGCTGTTGGTGAGAACGGAGCTAGGGCAAGGGGAGGCAGATGGGTGACCCAGATATTTGATGGCATTAGGCCGTGGGGACCTGTTAAGTCCATCACAGTAGACAGCCACTGAGTGTTTATGCCTCCTCTGTGTGTGGCACACTGTTAAGATTTTCACATAGATCAATGACTTAGACCTCACAGCTGCCCGATCACTAGCCTCATTTTCCAAGTGTAGAAGCTGAGGCACAGAGGGATTGGAAACTTGCAATGTCACAAGGTAAGCGAGGTGCCAGGATTAGAACCAAGACATCTGGACTCCAGACCCTAGGCTTCCATCGGTCACCCGCACACATCTCTTGCAGACAGCGCAGCCACAGAACGGGAATTCCCTCTCCGTGGGCAGGACATGCCCTTGGTGGGGCTATCTGCAGGGGGGCTCTGCCATAGTGTGGCTTTCCCTTTGGTTTTCCCATCAAACACATCAGGTTATCCTGGAGTCTCATTGGTCCAGGACCCATCCTGTGTCCTCAGATACTTGGCATGCCTGTGCTGTGACCCACTCTGTGTTGATTTATGTGCCAACCCTGCCTCCTTGCTCTTGGGTCTCCGTCATGTGCTGCCACGTACTCTCTTGTCTTTGACAAGGGCATTGGTTTTCATTTGAACAGCCGAGGTATCATGTTTCTATTTGTTAAGCTGTCATAAAAATAGAAAGACTGACTGTCATGATTTCTGTCTATAAGTGATGGAAGTTATTATAGAAAAGACTGAAAGGGTCAGTTTAAGGAAAAACAGGGGTAGGAGTTGTTCCAGAGAAAGCTCACTTTTTAGTATATCCTCACATTTTTTTCTTTGAGAAATAAGCAAATTGTGTACCCAGTGCAGTGCTCTCAGGTAAGAATTTAGGGGAAAACAAAAGAGACTTTGAGGTATTGCTAGGAGAGGGTCAGCACATTTGCCTCTGTATAATCTTATGAAAATAGCCAAATACAGCTAAAGGTCAAGATCAAATTGTGAGTGGAATCCCGGTCATTGACACAGAATCCCTTTGGCCTTCGTGTGTCTTAGGGAAGTTCCTTTATTTACTCAGAACCATCCCTCTTGCCCCCTGCAGGCAGGGCGGTAGCTCTCCCTCCCTTGCTCTTTAATTGCACTGATACTGTTGACAGAGCCTGCTCTCTTCTCTGGGCTGACCTCCAGGGCCTGTCCTCTGCCCTCCAGGGCCTCTCTGCCCAGAATGTCTGCCCCATCACTGCCTCACACTTATTTCTGACTCTTACCCGCTGAGGCTCCTGTCTTGTCAAAGTCATGTACTGGGGGTGAGGAGTATGCTGGTTAGGAGAAAATTATGATAAAACGTTGTTGCAGTAGGTGATAAGGGATTGAGAAGCTAGAATGGAATGCCAATTGGCGCACTATTCTGCGCTTTTCCTTAGCTTTATAAAGCTACCGCTGTTGGCAATATAAGTTACAAGTGAATAGTCAGAGCTTAACCTGAGGTTCACGGCTCGCTGTAAGGCAGAAATGCCTGGGTAGAGTTAAATGTTCAGCTCTCATTCATTTTGCTTCCGAATTCAGCAAAGCACAGAGTGCATGCTGGACCTACCCCGTGCCCTCTCCTCCAATGACAGCAGCAACCATATGGTGCTGCCTGAGATTTCTAGGTTCTTGCATGAGCCTCAAGAGGCTGGCATACAGAAATTGTACAGAGGGGCACAGATGCCCTGGCTGGGGTGGCACATGGGACACAGAGAAAGGAGGTCAGGCTCATATGCTAATTGCCCCAGCATTGCCAAGAGCTGAACGTGACTTAACAATTGTAGAATCAGCTTAGGGGTCAACACCCTTCACTGAGTTAGACCTAGACTTTTCACACACGAAAGTTACACTGCCAACCAGTATAACTTACAGCAACAATCTAGGTCAAGTCTCTTGAGAATTAGTCTGGAATATTTTGCGTATAGATAGCTCTGCTCTAGGAATATGAATTCAGCCAGTTTAATAATCAAAGCAATAGCCATTGATGCTTATGAATGCTTCTAAGCACTTCACATAGATAACTAACTCTTTTAAACTTATGTGGAAGTTTACTTAATTATCCCTACGTTACAGATGAAGAAGCTAAGGCACCAAGAAGTTAAATGACTGGCCCAAAGTCACGCAGATGGCAAATTTAATGGTTAAACATAATTGATAGACATAAAGATAAGATATTTTAATGCTAGTAGCACTAATTGGGATCTTGTCTTAGTTTAGGCTGTATGACATATACCATAGACTGGGTGGCTTAAACATGTATTTCTGGTGGCCATTCTCTAGCTGTGTCTTCACTTGGCAAAGACAGGAGGGGGAAACAAGCTCTCTGGTGTCTCTCCTTATAAGGGCACTAATCCCATCATGAGGGCTCTACCCCATGGCCTGTTTACCTCCCGAAGGCCCCACCTCCAAATACCATCACCCTGAGGGTTAGGGGTTCAACATAGGAATTTGGGGAGGACACAACATTCAATCCATAGCAAATCTGTTTTTAAAAATATTTTTGTAAAGGAAATTCAATCCTAAGTACAGAAAGCTAAACTCAAGGAAGTAATTAATAACTAATCATTTCTCTGAAACATTTCATTGAGAGTAACTTTACTGCAGGGAATAAGCAAAGCCCCATTAGAGCTGTACCTGCCAGGGATGGCGAACCCCTCCCCACCCCATTACCTGCCTGGATCTCCTCTTAATCCAATAGTTTAGGCAGGGGTTTGTCTTAACAAATGGTTTAAGTAACAGTAGCTTCCATTTGTCAAGTGCTCACTATGTTCAGTTCATAGGATTGGCCCTCTCTTTGCGCTGAGAGCTTTGTATTCATCGTTTCATTGACTCCTGAAACAATGCCACAGAGTGCTGTTGTCACCGTCATTTTTGAGATGAGCAAATGAGCTGAGAGAAAGAACAAGATGGTTCCAAGTTTTAAGGTAGAAAGTGACAGACCTGGAGCTGGACTCAGGGTCTGCCTCCCACACCCTTGCTTTTAGCCCGCAGGCTGTGAACTTCCCAGTTCTCTCATCTTAACCCAAGAGTCTACTTTTGAATACATAGCAAACCATAAATATTTGCTAAGCCCATATTCAGCATTCCACAGACTCTCTGGGGTCACAGAAGGTCCAAATGTGGACCAGAGGAGAAAAAAGAAACGTGAAGTTGTTAAGAACAGTCCACGTACATGTATAATTAGGTGCTCAGTTATGTGAGTGCTAAATAAGTATACCTTTGGGAGGGAAAGACCACATGGTGGAGAAGGTAACCAAGGGCGGTAACTACTTGAAAAGCAGAAGGAGGAGACCTCCAGGAAAGGGCTTAAAGGGCGTGGAGGAATTAGCCAGGCTCTAATGAGAATGCAGATATAAACGATAAGCCATAATGAGGAGAGCTTATGGTCCAAATGCAAGTGGTTTCTTGGAAAGTGCATTTAAATCCCAAGCTGTTGTGTTAATCATTCAATTAGCTCATCCCCATTTTACCTGTGCAAAATTGCTCAATTGAAAAGAATTCCTAAAGTAAAATAGAAACTCCCAAAGGATTCCTGCTTTGGGACAGAAATCACCCCTTTGAAATCGAGATGGGTTTCCTTTCCAGATCGGTGTGGGGATTTATGGGAAAGGCCTCTGCTTCCGTAGTGTATTTTTATGTTTTGCCTTTGGGCAGTGGCGCTGATGTTATCTCAACCGTATCTTTTTGCTTTTTTTCTTTCAGTATGTGGTTTTAATAGGTTTCCTACATTCTTGTGTGCTTTTTTATTTAGTTTGGAGGAATGGTAAAAAAAAAAAAAAAATTCTCTCATGGGAACACATTTTCAATTTAATGCTGTAAGTAAGTGGAAAAAAATATTGTATGCTTAACAGCTGTTTCAGGAGCACATCTCTCCCATAAATAGATTATTCCACAGAAAAGTCTAATTTTCTCAAATGCTTTGGGTTGCTAATTTGACAGGGAGATTTGAAGTTCTGAAGCGTGTTCCGCGGGGGGGGGGAGCTTCCCGCAGGGTCTGGGGCTCCTTCCCCGCCTGCCTTCCGGGGCTTTTAGAGTAAGATCCTCATGCCTCACCCCTGGTAGCGAGACTCGCCATCAGGCTGTTGTGATTAAAGCAGTAACATTCCCTCTGTGTGTTCTTCCACCTTATAGGAATATATCTGCTACAGAGTCAAAGCAGCGAGACTCGGCTGTGTATAGTGAGCATTTTTTCTTTGCTTCTTCCATTCATTATACACCGGGCCTGGGTTAGGCCCCTCGGCCAGGCACGGGGACGGTAAGAGAGCTAGGATAGGGCCTTGATCCTGGAATGTGCCGTCTTTGGGGGGAATTAAGACATGAAGAAGGGTGGCAGGGCAGTGTGCAGGTGACTGTGAGTGCGGGGGAGAACCTGCCCGGAGGACGCCACGGACGGCCTCACGTAGGAGGTGACAGTGCAGCCGGGAAGGCGGTGGGGAGACGACGCCTCAGGTGAAGATGTAGAGCAGGTCGCACGCGGTGTGTTTGGGAAGCTCTACACAGTGCAGGATTTTAGGAATTTGAGTATAACACGGGAAGGGCCGCAGGGAAATTTCATTCCATTCCAGGCAGTAGGGCTCGAGTCCTTACAGTCTACAGATTGCACAGTTCTTCAGGACCATGGAGTACAGGCTTTGAGTTTAAATATTTCTTTTTCAAACAGGAGGATTTTAAGTCCCAGGTGGCGGTGTTTTCTCCTAGTCTGAACTCCGGGC